TTGCGATAGACATGCGTGTAAAGCGGTGAATTGAAGTTGATCATATCATCTTCGTGCGAAAGTTTTGCCCGGTTAATCTCTCTGTTGTTCCGAAGTTCTACATGGAAACGGACCATCGCCTCCTTCGCGTTAGTCTCCGTGCATCTCGAATGGCGATTGAAGGTGTATCTACGATTTATTTTCGGTTCCTTCGACAGCCACGTCAACCTTCCTACCTATCATCCTGGAAGACCGTTATGTCATTCCCTCAGTTCTCACTTCGACATGACATCACATCGATGAAGAATTGTACGGCGTCCGGTTCCGATATCAAACTAGATCATCTGATGAGACTTCCTCCAGTTAATGCCGAAGCTATGGCTCGGTTTCAGTCGGAATGCAAGGTGCTCACATCATGGAAAACTTGCAGGAACATTGTTGAACAGGAAGGCATTTAGTTTTTTTTAACTATGGCCCAACCTGCGTGCTGATTGCGATCTATTTATAAGTTACACGAGTCGTTCTTGGCAGAATATTATATGAAGGGCAACTATGCGAGCAAGCCGGGTTCCGAATAAGGTTCAGTAAGATCGATCTCATCCGAACTGTCACACGAGTCATTGAAGTGTTGTGACAGATCGCCATAATTTATCACGTCCGTCTATTCGAGCAAGGTTCCTTATGCCCTCGGGACAGGAGCGGTAATTCAAGCTTGGGCGAGCAGGGTGTTTATATTAATATATAGCGATGCTTTGTAAGCTCTACAACAACTTTACCACCGGGATCTCGCCATATACCAGGAAGCTATTGTGAATGTGAAGGTAGGGGTTTGGCAGGACGATCTTTTCTCACTTAGACTTTTCCTTGTTTCTCTCGAAGACATCATGCGTCATTTGGCGTCAAAACACGAGAGGTGGAGAATCGACGGCCGCTACGTAGATCATCTCTGCTTTGCAGATTACATCGTGCTTATAACAGCGAACATCGAGCAGGGTGATGGAATACTGGCTGAATTGGGAAGCGCTTGTGGGGAGATCGGGCTGCGATTGAACCGAGCTGGTAAAACTGGTAAGTTCATTAGAGACGGGTTGGTCGTTGATGCTCTCTTAACGCTGAACCAAATGAAGGGCTCTAGTTATATGCACTTCGGTCGAGAGTCAATAGCTCCGGAACTGAAGAAGACAGAGAACATTCGACTCTGCGCCCATCTTTTTGACCCTGTGGCCCTTCCTGCTATGAATTGCGTCTCAGAGACTTTAAATCCACGCAAGCAGGATGAGCATGCAATCGGCGTCATCGCGCTGTAGAAATGACGACGTTCGAGATTACCGATGCATGCCGATGCAAAGCGGAATCCAGAGTTTCCGGCATCCACTATCGAATCGTGGGACGTCCTTCCCAATGCTAAATAATCGAAGATCAGGCGAGCCGGACAACATGCGATTCGTGATGACACTTTGCAAGGGATATGAGTGACTTACGATCTCAAACAAACACCATTATGGCCGCCATCGTTATGACCAGAATCACGGAAGCTCTAAACGGAAAGAGTGATATGCCTTGTGTCCTGAGCGAAGAGGATAAACTGAATTACATTTGCTCTTGACAGCGCTGTAGAACTGGCACTCGCTCGAGCAAGTCAATGATCAGTGGTACGGCAGTAGGCAAGTGATGTGCATATTGAAGGCGACGTTGACAACTCAGCTCCAGCTTTGAGCGAACTCTAGCGATTTTGAACAGAGGTTTGAGTTCCTAGATATCCGTCATTCGAATAAAAGAGAAGAGCAGTGCTCGAACAGCGACATTTTTTAGGTCCGTCTTAAGAATAATCGTGGCGAGAAAGAGACAACAGATTTATGCTGAAGATGCGTGCAGTTGTAGTCATTTGTCTACCTTCGACTTGCAATTTTCCAGTATAACAGCGTCATTCGCTCTTTATTTTCACCCATTTTCAGTGTGCTGTTTATATGCACAGCAAATGTGATTGACCACATTCCCGGTCCACTGAAAGATCGAATGGAATTGATAGATGTTAGTGGTTACCTGGCCGAGGAAAAACTTGTGATTGCTCAGCGATATTTGATACCACAAGCTCGGAAAGAGACGTGAGTTTTACACCGATCTTGTGTCTTGCCGATCTCATTTGGCAACGCTTCATCACTTAACGCAGTTTTAATTTTTATATTATTTATAATTTTATTATTATTCTCTTAAAAGCGTTGCTTTCCGGAATTTTCGAAACACATTTTACGAGAAGTATGCCATGCTTATAGATGTGAGTAGAAGAAAATAATCACTTCCTAGGTCCTTAACCGAGGAGCAATTCGTGATCGAACAGAGTGCGGTGGAAGATATAATAAAGCATTACTGTCGCGAATCGGGAGTCCGTAATCTACAGAAACACATTGATAGGGTGAGATTGGTTCTTCTCATGAGTCAATTTGATCGCAGCTGTTATTTTTATAGGTATTCCGTAAGGCAGCTCTGCAAATTGCCGATCGTCTTAGTGCAAGCCAAGGGGCTACCGATGATAATGAGACTCCCGCAGCTTCTGATTCCTCTCAACCTACGATCGTCGTGAATAGTGAAAATTTGGAAAAATATGTTGGAAGGCCGAAATTCACATCCGATCGAATGTACGATCAAACACCACCCGGAGTAAGCGTCTATTTGATTCTCAGCTATTCTTCTATTTGATTCTCAGCTATTCTTTCCGACGCGAGAGTCAAATTGCTGATAGCCTCCATCCAAAAACTGTTTTTGTCTGGAAGTAATTATTTGTTGTCGTTTCTGTAGGTCACTTTTGTGGAGTAGTTTGTTTGTCTAGCTGAAATAACTGCATTTCATATTACGGGGTTTTTGTAGCGCAAATATTCTCTGAGATGAAATCCCTTCAGGTAATCATGGGTCTAGCTTGGACTGCCATGGGAGGCTCTGCTTTGTATATAGAAGCAGTTTTAAAACGTCCTGTTGACTATGCGAGTGATAAAGAGGGCAGCTTGGAAGTTACTGGAAACCTTGGAGATGTCATGAAGGTTTGACTAGAATGAGAGCCGTTGTACATAGCGCTCTGACACCTAAAATCATTATTTTCTAGGAAAGTGTAAAGGCAGCAATGACGGTTGCGAAGGGGATTCTTGCGAGGGATGAGCCGGACAATAAATTTTTTGATAAAGCTCATATTCACATTCACGTGCCGGAGGTTAGTCCCATTAACCTACACTGCTGCTTCTGTAAGCTCCATTTTGATTTTTCCAGGGAGCCACACCCAAAGACGGACCTTCTGCCGGAGTCACTGTGGTCTCTTCACTTCTCTCTCTTGCATTAAATAAACCGGTTGTACAGGAAATGGCCATGACTGGAGAGATTTCGCTGACAGGGAAAGTTCTACCTGTTGGTGGTATAAAGGAGAAAGTGATTGCGGTCAGTTTTAAATTAGAACAAATCTCAGTTGAGTTATGGAAGGATAAAGAAAAAGAATTAGATGGCAAGTGACCCCTTGACTATTGAAGTGGTGTAGAAAGGGGATAAAGTGGTTTTGATTTAAAAACGCTGTTACAAGATTTCTTTGGTGGAAATAGTTTCATTGACCTCTTGTTATACGGCCACGATGTCACCGCTCGATAAATTGTGGTCTTACTCCCACTTTCCAGGAACACCATCGAACTCCAAAAAAATGAATGATGGGAGCCAAGTACTGAAAATCCAGGGGTTTCGATGGAACTCAATTTTAAATGAGCGTAAATTTCATTCGAGCCAGATCCTTCAAATCTCCAGAATGATGTTTAACCGTTTCCCTTGAACTTCCCCTTCAATTAGGGAGTGTTTTACTCCCGGCGAAATTATTTCTATCTTCGTGGTTGAACTTTTTTTACAGCCATCCTTGAAGACCTTGGAGATCTCCTACTTATAAAATCAAAAGGCTTTCCTAAATAATCAAAGTTTTACTTTTGATGGGGTTGATGGGGATGTGTAATCTAAGTATGCTTTCAAGAAAGTACGCAATTTCAGGCTAGAAGAGTTGGTGCTAAGAGAGTGTTCCTTCCGGCGGAGAATCGACGGGATTACGATGATTTGCCCGACTTTATGCGACAAGATCTTGATGTGCGATTTGTCAGCGATTACGTCGAACTCTTCCAAGACCTGTTTAACTGAGTGATTCGAGTAGGCTTTTTCTAAAGCGAGTTCCGAAGATGAAATAGAGGATGCAGCTATAGCGCAGCGCATCCTGTCAGTCCGGTCACTCGCGCGATATTGCGAGTTCATATTGATCTTAGGTGTTCTGACCTACTGAACACTGCTATGCAGATTTATTGTTGTATGTTGTTATTATTGTTGTAGAGTTTTGTTAATATTTCTGCATAAAATGAAGGCGATTTTTACAACTGACTACTTCGATGGTTTTCTATTCCAGCAAGTACCTCTAAATCCTGAGTTAATTGTTCTTGAAACAAAGTTAAAAAGGTGGGATTAGTAGGTAGCTGACAGAATGGTAGTCATCGAGGAGGAATGGGAAGATTCGGGAGATACAAAAACAGCTGAGAAATTGAAACAAGAAGGAAATACAAAGTTTGGCGAGGGTAAATGGAAGGAAGCTGAAGACAAGTATAAGGTGAACTATCTTTCAATGTGACCTAGCTTCACCTTTTTGAAGAAGGTTGCATCAGGAAGCTCTTGCAATATGCCCGGCAGAGGACGTTGTGCTTTGTACAATACTGCACTCTAATCTCTCAGCCGCCTATATAAAACAAGCCCAATGGGAAGAAGCAGCTGGGGCGGCTACAAAAGCTATGGAGGTGAAGTTGTTATAGTGGTCTGGACGAACATTAGTCATATATTCCTCTTGATTATAGGCTGATTCAACGAACGACAAAGCTTTAGAAAGACGAGCCTTTGCGTATTCAAAAATTCCTGAGAAATTCCAGAATGCCCTAGAAGATTATGAGCTACTAAAGGTTTGTAATGTATTTTCTATCGCTCACAGTGGCTGGTTGACGTGACAGTGTAGGAGCGTACTCCTTCTTTGAATGGAATAAAAAAGCTGCTCTTGGAAATGGTTGTGAAGTCAAAAAGGGGACCACGTGATGATTTGTTTGCGCGAAAACTCGGTCACTCTACCTTTTTGCAGATCGTATTACCTTAATTTTTGTATATATTTGCCATTATTCACTATATTTCATAAAGCCAATTATCGACAGCTAGAAGGATTCTGACTAAGGAGTCCGGATCTGAACGGAACTCAAACTTACTGTTTTGCTTTCCGGTTACGTATCCATCTGACGTATCTATCAAACCAACCTACTCTCCTTCAAAAAACTGCTTTACTTCATTCCTATAACTAGACAGTGCTTCGGTAAAATTAGTAGGCGTTCTGTGAATTCCTAATGCTAGTATGGCAACTAACCATAGAAAGGTTGAATAGTTGAATAGGGAATGTGAATGCTGGCAAACTCCTCATAGGCATAGCTATATCATCCGATTAGGAAGACAATCTGGATTGTCAATAGCGTAATGAAGCGTAATGAACGAGCACAAATCCATAAAACCTTGGATGTTGAATTCCCATGCGAGGCTTGGCGTCTTTGTTACAATAGCATTGAATAAGTTTGTCGTTCTCTTTTCTCATCTCATCATTCAAGGAAAGATTTCCCCAACGAGTTCAGTACGTGAGAAAGATTGAAGAGGTGAAGAACAGAATTGCTGAACGCGATGAAAATTTGAAAAACGAAATGATCGAAAAGCTGAAGGACTTAGGTGAGTTTTCCGAACCTCTTTTCTTTTCTTTCTCATCTGAACTGTATTTTAGGAAATGTGTGTTTGCGGCCATTTGGACTATCAACTGATAGTTTTGAAATGGTTCCAAACGGCGAAGGAGGATATAGCATTTCAATGAAAAAGCCCACAACATGAGCCCATGTCGACAATGAGGGCATTCTACGAGTATCGAAAAACAAAGTCATTTCAATGTTTGTATTTTATGTACTTCAATAAATTTACATAACACTACTGGTTTTGTGACTTGGTGAATAGAAAATACTGCACTACCATTTATTCCTTCAGTAAATAACCTAAACAAACTAGATCTACCAGATATATTTGGCAATAGATGCCGGTATCCATTTGTCGTAAAATTTCGGGGCTGAATAATCAGAGTGATGACGCCAAGTGTGCTCTTTGGCCCATTGGCCGTGTTCTGAATGGGCGAAGATCTGCAACAGTTACACAATAGAGGAGAGTGGAAGGATGGAATAGAAAGCAAGAAATCACCTCGAAATAAGCAGGATCCCACCACTTGTCTCCTAGGGTGAAGTACACTGGCTCACCATACCATGTTCCTTAAATAACAGCATGTTTTCAAAGGTCGATTAAGCCTGCCACAATCAATTCTGATCAAATAAACACTTTACATACATTGATCTCAACAAGGCCTGCATCATATGTTGTTGCCCCAGATTATGTCCTTCCCCCGTGTTTGCGAAATATTTAGCCCATGCTATTCCGCTACCTCCATCGTATTTAATCAGTCAATTGAGGATGTTTTCGGAGATCCTAGACTTTGGAAGTACCCATACATTACCGCCATTGAAAAACGATTATCTCCAATTACAGACCGATAACTATCACATCCATTTTCTGTAGAACCAGAGCAAAACAGTTCCTGCCTTCCGACATGGGTATTTAGGGTAAATTTGTTACAATCAACTTACCAGATTAATTTAATTATTGAACAATGCACCGAACAACAAAAAGTTTGATGGTGTGATATATACTGATTTCACAAAGGCTTGTGATAAGGGACACTTTTCGACGTCTTCCGCCTTCATAGCGAAATTACGGTGGGTAGATGTCTTCCATACTTTTCAATACTTTGTTGATTTGCCTTTTATCTGTCATGGTGCTGTACTGCCAAACAACACGCTAATAACCTTCAATTCCACAAAGTAATTAAGTTCCTTCATGACTCGATGTCACTACAAATTCTATTAATATGCCTGCCCAGTGGTCTGGAGATGTGCAGATCCCCCTCTCTTCTAACAAAACTTGTTTCAGGCGAATAGGCACTTCTTCTAACTCTCCCACATATTTTCAAAATTGCCAAAAGATTCATTAAATTGAAAAGGTCAAGGATTTGGACATTCACATAACAAAAAAGTTTTTTTTNTTTTTTTTCTGATCACTACAAAGAAACTCACGAAAAGCATTCCGTAGAACATACCGGATTTTCAAGGCGCTAACAATCAATGACAGCGAAGCTCTCATTCGAATATAAAGCATAAAGGACAAATTTTTGGGGCGTTAACCAATCCTGTCTTAAGAATGCGCCCATGTATTCCACTTCCATTCAGAATCGTAGTGGCGAATTGAATGCGTATGACGCCTATACAATAACTTTCGATGGCTAGCCGTTGTACAAGTTAGTGCTTCTATCCTCCCATACGAGCCTTGCACCTAGGCGGATATCGATCCGGGATTCGGAGCCGTGACCATGTGTGTGGGTGTGTGTGATGGTGCGCCACTTGCCACTACACCACCTCCGCCCTCATTCGCTCGAATGTATACAACAAAAAAAGGGAAGTATGATTCTCAGTCAGTGATGTCACAAAATAATCCGTACTGGTTAGAGGATCAATATGAACAGTATCAGAAGGCTTGCTACGCGTCCACGCGACATTTCACACTCCCATCGCGCATACGTGACTTTTCACGGGGTGCCACACAAAGTTAGCGCGTCGTGTATATGGAGAATTCCTTTTTCTCACGCTCTCACATAGCGTATTGAATGAATAAGTCAATATGATGGTACAACGTTAGATGGTAAAAGATATCCTCAAGAAACCTGAAACGCTCCAGAGTGATTGAAAGGGGGAAAGGGCAATTTCGCAAAGCCATGGATTGAAATGGCTCTATTTTTGCAAAAACTGAACTTACATTTCAGATCTCGTTAATATCTTCCCGTCACATGCTAGCAATTTTCATAATACTCTACAAGTGGGAGACGTTGTGTAAAAGTTGCAATTAACATGAAAAGTACCTGTTTTCCATCCAGGAACGTCTTTCATAACCTCATCTTCTAGATCCCGGGTTTTCCTCAACAATTTCAGCCAACTAAAAGAAAAAAATGAGCTCAAAGAATATCTACAAAGTGGAGCAGACGGGACCAACCTCCTATCACGTTCGGCAATAAGAAACGGTTCCATTGCATTATTAATATCGACGTCTTCGAATTTCTCAGTCCTGAAATACAGCCAAAGTCTTCAAAATCATAAAATGGATTACTGCAAATCGAAATCAAGCTTTTCATGCATTCAACTTACACTCTGGCTTTCCTTGCAGCGAAAGTCTGAAATGTACCAGCAACTGTTGCTCCGAATACAGCGGCCACTACGAGACCAGCTAAATTGACCCGTGATTATTCAGAAAACACATTCAGCTTAATAAAAAGTTCAAGTGAAGGAATATAACATGATGAATTTAAGCATAAAGAAAGATAAACATACGTCTCCAAACAAGCTTTGGGAACGTGCGACCGTAATTGAAACTTCTATAGCCCCCTGGAGGAGGCATATCTTGTCGGAACCCGGGATTGTCCGACATTCTGATACCTAAAAACAGTGCTTTTGAAACAAAATTCTAACAATTTCAGGAATTGTAATCGGGCTTTTGCCTAGCTGAAAGTTGGAAGCATAATACTGGCGTTGGCTTCCATGCAAAAGGTGCAATGCATCATCTGGACACTACCGTTTACCAGCGCCAGTTTAAGCCATTTTAACAAATACAGCCATGTGTGTTTTTGAGCGCTGAACTCGAAGCTAAATCTGTGAAACTTTGCTGGGGATGAGGGGGGGGGGTCTACGTTACCCTTCTCCAATTCCCATGTTGAGTGGTGTTGCTTGGATAAGCGAGCGGGGTAAGTGGACTGCTGGTGGGGTAGTTGGTAAGGCGCAGACTCATTGTCATGATATGGAGGGTCATTTTCTTACACTACTTTTGGTTTTCCAAAGGACGTGACTCGTCCCGAACGTTGAGGCTCTTTCACCTTCATTGTATAGCCCCCTCCCTTCCCTACTGCCACTTGATGAACGCTGGAAATGATAATCGACTAGAAAATTTTCTTGGCCTCCTTGGGCCAATTGGAAATACCTTCTATACCGAACGGTCGGATTGGGATACCCGAATTTGCGGCGGCTCCCTGCACGTTCGATTATAGACTGTGGATGATTCACATGAACGGAGTGAATTTTGGAATAAATACCTTCTCTAACTTTGGGAACAGAAATGAGTAGAATACATCTGAATTAAGGCGACCACCAAGACCTAATGACTGAAGTGAAGGATAAGGAATTCGGCCGTTAATATCCCGTCGGAGGGGTGCGCCCACGCATTCGACTTCCGTTCAGATTCGTACTGGTTATTGAATGCGTATGTGGCCTAGACAGTTGCTTGCGGTGCCTAGCCGATGTCAAGTCAGTGATTTTATCCTCTCAGACAAGGCTCACTCCAATTACCCGACTCCGGAGGGATGAAAGACTTGGTTGGCCTAGGTGGACCCTGATCCAGGATTCGAACTCATGACCATTCGTGTGCGATAGTGCGCCTCTTGCCACTACACCATCTTTGCCCATACTTGAGATAAGATAGATTGATTTGGAGAACGAGAAGACTTTGCATGGCCCCTTCTGCATCACAACATTAAGGCATGTGGACGGAATCATGGAGTCGAAGGCAATCCTCTTTCATGATATTTGTACATTCCCAGGAAGGTAGATCGCCTAATAAGCGTCTTGCAAACGCTTGTGATGCGTTGTCACAAAAAGCGAAAGGAACGTAAGGATACGAGCATACCTTGTTTAGGCCTCCCAGCCCTACCAACTACTCCTTTTGCTGCGCAGTTTTGTGTACTATTCGGCCGCTTATCCGTTCGACACGATAGTGCATCACAGAGGAGAATGGTCGCGCAGCCTTTTTTCTTGAATGGTCTCTCAGTTTGATACCCAGATTTGAGATCAGCGTTTGTTGTTTGAAAACACGACTGCATTCTCTTGAGTAGCTATTGTAGTACACCAGAAAAGCGGACCCCGCTTCTCAGCGAGGCAGGAAGAACGCTGAAGAGGATGAAGACGAATATCGGTTCGGCTAATTTCTAGTGTTTGTATCTACCACTTTGCAACCATGTAATTCAATCTAAATCATAAAGAAGGAGGGATAACGTTTTTGGTGGAACAGATGAACGTTTTTCTGATATTACATAACTTGTTTATACTTAAGAAGGTCGCTTACGGGGTGACGAGCCACAACTGTTTCTCGTTTCACTGATTATGACCACCTATAGGTGCCCAGGTGATGATTACAATTCACTGAATATCGACAGCAAATAACCGGAACCGCAACCAGAAAAACCAAGCTGAGAAGGTCATCGGAGGTGGCGTTCTTATTTGTCGACACACGCACACATACATACATATGCACACATAGACACACACATGCACACACACACACACACACACACACAGATACAGGTGCACACACACATCGAAGAGGGCGGAGGGGAGGGGGATTCAGTAGC